CTAGATCAGTATCTGCTACACCGCCCACCTTGGTGTCGTCTGCAAATTGAACCAGTTTACTGTATGTATATTGGTGTGATGAATAAAAAATATGCAGTCTGTGATGCCTCTGAGAGTACAGATCAGATGACCAGGGTCATTAAAGGTAAGAGCAGGGGTGTGCAGAGAAATGATAAACCTCTGACCTCTGATTGTGTGTCTCATAGGAGAAGCAGGGACGCACAGAAACTAAATAAGTCCTATGAATTGTATGCAAGTAGCAAGAAGCTGCTGGTGCCTGATCATTGAGGGGGTGGAGGTTGATGCAGAGATCTGGATCAGTATGGTTTCTGTGCTGGACAGGTCTTCACATCTGCTCTCCCAGGAAATGTGGAGTTAAAGAGGGGTGATAAGGTGTGGTGATGTCAGGCCACCACCCCAGGGAACAAGAGCATTCTAAAGCCCCCATGTCTTACCTGGTTCCCCCACTACACACTTCCAGGAGCCAGGAGAAACGGCACTTCACTTTGCCGTCCGGCTGGCGGACCGGACCTCCCTGCACGTTGTGGACTTCCTTGCTCAGAACAGGCAAGTGGGTCTTAGCTGAGACAAACTGCTACAAGCGGGGGAGTTGGGGGGCTGCAGATGACACAGTAAGAAAGGGAATGGTGAGGCGCATCCGTGAAACTCAAAGGATGACTGACGTTTCAGGGCAAAGTGCATCCCTCAGACTGAGAACCTTTTGAGATCTTAGTCAGTCTCCCCATCGCTCACACATATTATGGGTGAAAATTTTCTTTCCTAAGTACCAGGTTCAACCTGGGCAGTTTCTTTTATAACTATGCCCCCTGCTGGCACTGCAGCCCTAGACCATAGCTTATGCTCTGTTCTGTTATAGATGATATAGAGCTAGGAATAGCATAGATAATGTAATGTGGGTTGAGGTGTGATGTCAGGGTCTCCAGCTATGACTGCCACAATGTCTGACCCACAGCGGCAACCTGGACAAGCAGACGGCCAAAGGCAGCACAGCCATGCATTACTGCTGCCTCACCGACAACAGCGAGTGCCTCAAACTGCTGCTCAGGGGCAAAGCCTCCACAGACATCGGTGAGAACCGGCGGTGCCACCAGGAAGCCGCTCTGATGAAATTAGCCAGTGTTTCCAGTAGATTCTCCTGCAGCTGCCAACGTAGACCATAAATTATAGACCCCCCCCTCCTTTTATGAATCACTGGTATCCAGCTCGTGTGTGACCACAGTAACCGTGCTGTGTCTGTGTCTGTCTCTGTACAGCTAATGAGGCTGGAGAGACTCCTATGGAGATCGCCAAGCGGCTGCGACATGAACAGTGCGTGGAGCTGGTGAGCACCTCTCCTTTCGAACTCGGGCAGGACTGGGCAGGGGAGGCCCTGCCAGAGCTCAGGTTCACCGGGCTGGTCTGCATTGGACGCCTACTGGTGCTCCGAGGGCCCGGCGTCCCCGGCGTGACAAGAGTGGCATGGACACTTACGGGGGAAACGGCCGGCTGACTCTCCTTCATTTGTCACCCTGAACTGGCAGCTGAACCGGTCACTGGCTGGGAAGTTCAACGCCCATGTGCATGTGGAGTACGAGTGGCGTCTGAAGCACGAGGACCTGGATGAGAGCGACGAGGATCTGGAGGAGAAGGTGCTGCCTGTTACCCACCCTGCCACCCACCAGGGGGTAGAATTTAGTCCTACATACAAAGAATGGATAGAAAAATATGTCACTGAATGATTGAGCTAATATTTAGATGCTTTTGGAATGACAACAATGTATTCCCCAGACAGCACCAGCTCCCCCCCTCCCCATTTAATCCCTACTCTGGAACCCCACAACCTCACTACACTACGTTAGACTTAGGCAGTATCTTAATTTTTCATAACGTCCATATATTATACCGTGATAGCGCTCCTAATTTTCCCAAGTTCAACACATCCCTGGGTCAGTAAGAGGCTTACGTTTCACTTCTTTAACCATTTACAGTCTTTGTATGACATCACCACATTAGTTAAAACCAGTGTTTTTTTGGGTGATTTGTAAAGTATTCCTTTTATTGTGTAAGCCTTTTGTTAAGGGATATGTGAGACATAAAAAACATAGGAACATTCTTACCTGAAAAGGGTGTGCGGAACAATGTAAGGTCCTGACTTTATTTCTTATTATTATTGTCATTATTATTATTAATTTTAATAATAAAAATAATAATAATAAAAACACGCTGGGGTTATGGACCTTGCTCAGCAGAGGCCAGGCTGAAACCGGCGACCTTCTGCTCACAGACACAGGCTGAGCCATGCGCTGCCCCCTGGCTGGATGGCTGTGGGCCTGGAGTATGAATAATGGACCAATGTTATGATGTCATTCGATGAAGACTATGTTTGCTTGACCCTGAGACATGTTGTATTTGAACTAATCAGGAACTCCTCCTGTGGCATACAGTATTTTGATGATATTTTCAAAAGCAACATTATTCCAGTATCTTGACAAGGGATTTCTCCATTATAAATTTTGAAATGGGGGGGGGGGTACCCACATTAAATTTTGCTGAACAAAGATACCGCGGTATAGCCAAAGTACTACTGGATCATTGCCTGTGGCTGTTTTCCCATATGCCTTCACTGACTAGGACTACATGACATGATTAAATTCCTCCATGCCAAGTGGGGTTTTGTCATGTTAAATTTTGTAGCTTCCCATGACAAGTTTCACTAAACAGCTATTGGACTGCTACTGATAAAAACTGTGGGTAGATGATGTTTAAAAAAGACCCATAAAAGCCACCCTTTATGTCCTCTGTTTGCCACCTTGCACTGCTGTTTTGGGGTGAACGAAAACAGGTATATATCTTCATATTTAGGATATTTTTGTGAAGGGGTAATAAGATCTATCAAAGATCAAATAGAGTAATAAGATCAAATATCATAATCCTTTCCACAAGGTCTTTTGCAGATGCCCTTCGCTTTGCTGCCACTAAGCAGTGTTGCTTCAATTTTGATTCTTTTCAGTTTGTCCCCCATGTAATGTGTTTGGGAAAAGATCTGTCAAATACTTTTTGAGTTAGCACACGGGATCAATTGTCTGTTCTGTGCAGCCGATCCTGCCAAGGCGGGAGGACCGTCCATTCATCCCTGTGATGCCAGGCCCTGGCCCCGGCCCCGGCCCCATGCAGCCCCAGTTGGCCTCTCTGGCCCGAGATGCTGCCAGCCTGGTCCGGGACAAGCAGAGGGGATTCATCCCCAGCATCATCAATGAGACCTACGGCACCTACGTGGACTCCCCTCCCCCCCCCCCTCCCCCTCCCCCCAACTTTCCTGTTCCCCCACTGCCCTCTCGACCCACAATCAGAGGTGAGGACCCCATTATTACTTCTCCCTTTCACAGCTCACAATGATAACCATCACCGTGGATTGTAACAGAATCACGACAGTAGTGATGGCCAAATGAGGCTTCATGAACACTTTGCTGTATTTTTTTGACCCCACTAGATGGTGCTCTTGGTTTACTTTGGGGCATGCTTTGGAGCCCTTTTTTGAGCAAAGAGGACCATCTAGTGGGGTAAGAAAGTACAGCAAATGCTTCCTGAAGCTTCATTTGGCCATCACCATATAACAACTTGTAAAGTTTCTCCCTGTGTGTGAGTGAACTTTAGCCTCCTGCAGAATAACAGGATGCAGTGTAGCGGGCTGTACATCAGTGTATCACACTCTAAGCTGGCCTGCATGCCTCTGTGATTTCCCTGTGTTCCGTGTGCAACATATATGGATGATGGATGGATAACTTAACGACTTAATAATTTTGAAGAGGTCTTATTACAATTAAGGTTTTCTCATATTTATGATGACATGATAATATTTTACTCTTGCCTTCAAGCTACGGAAGTCCAGAGCAGACAACGCATTGTTTTTTTTTTCTTACTGTTATATCGAGATCACAATTTCTTTTCACCCATGATGTTCAGCAGTATAGTTGTATACATATCATCATCATCATCATGGACCAATGCATTCAATCTTACTTTGATCATGGACTGTCACAAGCAGAAATAGCAGTATGTCTGTCAGTGCTATTCGTGTTCATCACTTGTGAAAATATGGATAACTAAATCACAGCTTTGAATTAATTTTCGAATAATAGCGTTACCATGAGATAACATTGGGCTGTTATAGAATTCCAATTTTTCATCAGTAATCAAGAGGACAAAATTACAGACTGCTAGGTAACATTTACTACTCACTAGACCTCTACTAGGAAGGTAACGGAAGTAATGGACAGAAACACTACATTTTGAGTAAGATTATTAAGATTACAGCGTTCAAAGAGGGACTTTATTCGACGGCATAGTGCTGAGTGCTGATGCTGCACAGTGAAGCAGGCAGTGACAGAAGGCATCTACATCATCACATCAGGAAAACAAAAGATAAAAGCTGTGATCTCCAGACAATGTTAAGAAAAAAATCAATAATGAGTTCCTCTCTGGATTACCGCATTGAGACACCATCCAGAACCTTCCACTTTTTCCAGCCTTTGTGTTGTAGCCTATTACAAAATGGATCAAACAAACTCATTTTTGCCATCAGTTTACACACTATACCCCAAAATGACAAAATGAACCCATATTTCTATTTCTTACTGCCAATTAAATGTCATTTTAAATAATGGACAGCTGATTAATTGTAAAACAAATGCTGATCCAGCTGCACTGCCTCCTGTGTAATGTCACTGCTCAGTAACACTCGCACACAATGTCTGCCCTGGCTGGCCAGTGAGCTGTAACCCTGTCTTTGTGTCATCAGTCCCATTACCTGGATTTATTGGTGTGGCGCCCCCCATTGGTGGAGGAGGGTGGAAGGCGGGGCCAGGGGATATGGAGGCGGTGGGCTGTGACCAGGCCAGTGCTGCCGCCGCCTCGCTTGGTGAGCACTGCCTCCCCACTAGCTCCAGACGGCCAGCATCCACTGCTCTGCATGGCCCAGAATACTGTGATTGTTATGGATATGCGCCCAACCCAAGGCTTAGCCAGATGATATTAAAGTATTACCTATTTATGCAGACAGCTCCATAGTTTCATTGGCTCAGTTCAGGTTGAGCATTCTTTTACTTTGTATTTCATCTTGCACACAAAGGAGATTGCATGTATAAATTACAATAATAACTTGATTACATTACAAAAAAATCATTTTTATTTTTAAATATTTTTTAACCCTTCATGTCCCTCCAGTTGTGCCGCCATCAAACCAGATAGGACCACCAGTGCTTCCAGTTTTTCCACCAGTACTACCATCAGTGCCAGCCCCACCCCTGCCTCCACCACCACCTCTTCCTCCAGTCAAACCCGCTTTGATTCCACCCTCAAGAAAGCCTACCCTGGTCCCAGGCCTGCCCCCTGGGAGAATTGCAGTACCTAAATCCCCCACCAGGTGACATCAGTGAGACTTGCTTATGCTACTGTTGGTATTGGGAGCCTCTGCTTCACAGACAAACTCACCCTGTGTTTTTGTGTTTGTGATTTCAGCATGGATAATACTTTTCCAAAGTGGCCCACAGCCAAGCCTGTGTCACCGAAGAAACCAGGTAACTAGAGTGACACCTACTGTACTGCAGTTGTCTGTGGGACTCATCTACACTGAACGTCTTTTCTCTTTAACTGCTTGTTTTACAGTAGTAGCATTTTTGACAGAACTTGGAAAAGCTGCTAGGATGAGTCAGATCTTATAATGTTTCGGAAATCTCAGCATAAACAAGTCAAACAAAAGAAAAAGAAATATTGGTATATTTTATATCCTTTCTCAACAGAGAAATAGTAAGGCTGTTTCAGGGATTTCAGGTAGCATCCCTGTTCCAGGCACGTCTCCCAGGGCAGAGGCCCCGGGGCAGACTCAGGACAGCTGGAGGGAGTGAGATTCCCCAGAAGGAACTACAGTCTTTGGTCATGGGAGGAGAGGGCTGCTTGTATGTTGCCATCTCAACAGGACAAGCAGTGCAGAGATGAAATTAAACTGTTTCAGTGTAGGAGTTGAGCCACTGCTTTTCTTAAGATTAAAATGGTCTTCCATATTCCACAACATAGCAATTTAACTAGTGAGGACATGTTCTGGTGCAGCCACCTGGGGGTGCCCATAGGCACATCCCACACAGTCGCTCTCTTGACCCTCTCTTGCTTCCTGTGTTCCCTGCCTCTTAACACTGCTGTCACCTCCTCTGTTTAAGCAGCCAAAGAAGCGTCCAGCTCCCCTCTGGATACCTCTGAACAGACCCCACCCCCACCTCCTGTGCCCAGGCCGACCTACCTAGTAAGTCATCATTGGTCAGAGGGCGCAGAAAGGATGCAAGACCTGCAATTTCGGAAAAGTAGTAGGTTATCGTCAAAGCAAAAAGCAGAATGCACCAATGTATCTCTGCTGCTTTTACAGCACTGAGCCTTCATCCTCAGACTAGAATCTGATGAGCCAGACTGACGAGCTTTATTCACAAGCCTAAAATGAAGGCTTGGTATCTCACCAGTGACCACAGTGGTGCTCAGATTATGCCGTTCAGAAGAAGCCCCGGGCTCTGAGCGCCTCCTGCAGGCCAGTGTGTTCATTATTCGTTTTTGCATGTCAGAAACAGAAACCCAAGCGCGTAAAGGCCATATACCACTGCAAAGCTGACAACCCAGACGAGCTGACCTTTTCTGAAGGAGAGGTGATTGTGGTCGAAGGGGAGGAGGACCAAGAGTGGTGGGTGAGTGTCTGGGATGAGCAGCACTTCCTCTGGCATTAACTAGTCCTTTTGGATATAGGATATCTGTCAGCAGCTAAACCATTTATTATTGTTAAATGGAGGTTTAGTGAGAGGAAGGTGGCGCAGCTGCGGTTACGCTCTCAGAATCCGCTCTCTGTGCAAACTACCTGTCATCTGACGTTCCAGTTCGGCCATGTGGAGAACGACCCGAAGCGGAGGGGCGTGTTTCCTGTGACCTTCGTGCACTTCATCACGGACTGACTGACACGCACATCAGTCAAGGGGCAGGATTTGGGGGGAGAACTGTACTCTAATTAGTCTGCACAGTTTGTGTATCTGTGTGTGTGTCTGTGTGTGTATCTGTGTGTGCATTTATATGTTTGCGTGTATGTGTATTTGCGCTTCTGCAACTTTCACATCTCTTCCTGCAAACCTTTTTCCAAAGGTTTTACAGAAGCACCATGATGAATTTAAAAAAAGGTTTACACTAAAATGAAATTTTGCAAGGAAAATGTTCTAATTTCTTATCAGTGCTGAATTTGAATTACAGTAACTTGGGAAAAAATACAGCTGGATGCATGAATGTGTGAGAAGATGTGAATGTTTCATTATTTCTCTCTGAGAATCACCCAGCGTGGTGACCATGGCAGGTCTGCATTTCCCTCAGGCTTTAATGAAAGTAATGATTCATTACTTTCCATGAATCTGCAATAGAAAAGTTCTTTCAGATGCTTTTTTGTACAGTTTTTAACAGTTTACCTTTTATATTATACTGTTATTTTGTGTGTTTAGTTCTAGCTCTGGGAAAAGCCATAAGATTTTTATATGAGAATATTCTCCACTTGTCCCATCACGTTCAAACTGAAAAATCCTGCTGAAAGCCCTTATCTAAATGCAAGATGTTCTGCTAGCACGTGTATGGCTGGTAGATGGACGGCTGGAATACTCACCAGTTATTCAGTAATGACACACACTGGGCCTCTCATTTACTTCACATTAACACACCCTAGCACAGTAAATGAGCCTGAGACCGGCTCATTAGCACAGGGTAACCCCGTCTGACGCAGGGTCCTTACCGCAGCCCCCCTGCAGCTCCTGTAGTGGTGGTCAGCTCAAGGAAGGACATCCCATCATGTCCAGGAGCAACAGGGACGCATCTGAGCACGAGGGGGGACCATTCTTAGTATCACTGCTGCAGGCAGATGGGACTGGCTCTTAGCCTTCAGGCTCTGTGGACCTTAATCTCCAACACTGCCTGACAGACTCTTACCACATATGTGCAGCAGATTACTGCAGCTTCAGGAGTCCACATGTCAACAAGTAACAGGTGCCAAGTTGAGTTGGAAATAGGACCTTAACTGGGAAATCTTAATATGAGATCCTAATAATGGATAATTGGTATAGTGTTTTGAAAACTATGTACATTGTATATTTATGTGGTTTGTGCATTGACTGCTCCCTGTGATGGGTTGGCATCACATCCTAGGTTATTCCCTGCATTGCATCTGTAGCTTCTGCGATAGACTCTGGACCCCTGCGATCCCTGAACAGGACAAGCTGGTACAGAAAATATATGGATGGATAGAGTACGCATGATCTAGAATTTAGTGTGGAGATGCATTTAGATGAAACATGGCTGTTTTTACTGTCCCTTTGTGTTGCTTAGTCAAAATACTGTAAATATTTTCACTTTTTTAAAACATGAACACAGTGGGACCCCAGATCCACAGTTTATCTGCAGTGTAACGTGGTCCAAAAAAAGTTAAAAAATTCCAGAAATGGTTCATAAGTTTCAAGCCATGCACCATACACGTGTAGGCTGTAAGCCAGTGAGTACTCATAATAGCTAAGATATTTTTAAACATTATTATCATTAGAGGTTATATACAGGTACATGATACACACTTTACAATGAAAAATATTGTAACAGCAGCCTATGTTTTTTCAATGATCCTTTGTCGGTTGAGGGGTATAAAACGCATGATTTTCACTGCTCCATCCCTTGATACATGATATTTTTTAATTGCTATACTGACTCTTGAGAATTAGGCTAAAACGTCAGAATCCCTTTCATTTGAGTACAGTACTGTAATATACAATGTACTTTATTACTGTATTTAATATTGGTAGTCTTAATGTGTGTAAATTATCAAACTTTACCATAAGTAAATGCACAACAATCATGTTCTATATCGGGTTTGGAAATGGTTCGCTATTATCCGCGGTTTTAACTATCCGTAGTTGGTCTTGCAACGTATCACCCACGGATACCGGGGAGCTAATATGTTACTTCAGCCTGACACAAGAAGGAAACGCAATAATAATAAACTGTAAAATATGTGGGGAGATTAAGGTACTGCATGCGATTTGTACATAAATACACATTTTGGGAGCAAACTGAAACCAGAAAAAAAAATGCATCTTTCTTAATAAACATTGTCCTGTTTAATAATGATTAAGAATTGTATTTCTTCCGACATGCTGATATTTGTGTATAAAAATACATTTTAACTTAAAAATTACCGAAAGAAAAAACCTGTTTTTGTTGATGCAAGTTCTCGCTGGCAGGCACAAACACACAGCATTAGGGATATATAGAGTAGGATCCGAAGCTTGCTATTGCCCCCATTTTGCCGGAATGTCATAAACTGCGACACCCCCACATCCTGACAGAAAGATGCATTTAGTTGTATTTTGTTAGTTTTTTTTTTAAACAAGATGCCCCTATTTTATTTAAATACATTTAATAGCTGTAGGAACTAGTGAGCGGTATTTAGCAACATACCATGTTAGAATAATGCAATGGGTATATTATTTTTAAGGGATAATGCCATCAAACGTGTCTGTCAAGCATATCACAACGGGCATGCACGGAAGTTCGCACCTGCCGGAGGAAACATGGGGGTAGAATCAAACAGGCCACTGGCTTTGAGATAGACTGGTCATCCGTTCACAAGCTATTACAGTTTTTTCTGATTGCTTAAGCACATTTTTTGTAACTATTGGCTATTTTTGCAAAACTCTACACACAAATAAGAAAACCTTTCACCCAATTAT